CAGTGGATATCATCCATGGAATGAGCAAATGGATTTATGAAAATAAATTAACTATAGAGACAGACTTTTAAAAAGGATGATTTGCAGAATAAAAATCAATGCAAATGGACCTGCTAATCATGCTGGACCGTGTTTATAATAAATATACCGTATATGAGTTATAGTCCTGGATTAACTATCCTTCCCTGTCAAAAGTAAAATTCCTTTGGCTCTTACATAGAGCAGAACTCCAGTCCTGGGGAAAGCTGAGTTAAGTCAGCAACTGAATGTTAAATCAAGTGGCACCAACTTCCCAAATCTCTGTTCTCTCCTACATCCTTGCCCCACTGGGTTCAGTCAGTATATGAGGGACCCACATCCTATAGGAAACAATTCTTATCCTCACACTGACCATAAATCTGTATACCTAAATTCTTTTCTCTACATGCTTTTCTGTACGATGGATTGCTATGATATAACATAACAATGAGATCAAGGAGGTATGCTTGGAAGCTAAGCAGGGTCTGAAGGAATTCAATCTGCCGAAATCTTGTGATCCGGGATCTCGGCAGCTATAAACAAACCTTTCATCCATCCAATTCATGTAAAGTGACTTAGGAAATCTGTCTTTGAAGAAGCACCTGGCTTGTTTAGTAACTTGACTGAATATCCCACCATAGAGGAGCCACGGTGGTGCAATGGGTAAACCAATGGTTCTCAACCTTCCTAATGCCGCGACCCCTTAATACAACTCCTCATGTTGTGGTGACCCCGCAATCATAAAATTATTTTTGTTGCTATTTCACAACTGTAGTTTTGCTACTGTTATGGATCGTAATGTAAGCATCTGATATGTAGGATGTATTTTCATTCACTGAACCAGATTTGTGACAAATACTCTATACACCCAAATTTGAATACTGGTGGGGTTGGAAGGGATTGGTATTGTCATTTGGGAGTTATAGTTGCTGGGATTTATAGTTAATCTACAATCAAAGAGCATTCTGAACTCCACCAACGACGGAATTGAACCCAACTTGCCACACAGAACTACCATGACCAGCAAAAAGTACTGGTACGGTTTGGTGGGCATTGACGTTGAGTTTTGGAGTTGCAGTTCACACAACCAATGATGGATTTGACCCAACTTAGCATGAATAATCAATATGGTCAAATTTGAACAGTAGTGGAGTTTGGGGAAAATAGACATTGAAATTTGGGAGTGGTTGTTGCTGAAATTTATAGTTCATCTACAATCAAAGAGCATTCTGAGCCCTACCAATGATAGAATTGGGCCAAACTTTCCACACAGAACCCCCATGACCAACAGAAAATACTGTGTTTTCTGATGGTCTTTAGTAACCCCTCTGACACCCCCTCACAACCCCTCCAGGGGTCCCGACCCCCAGGTTGAGAAACGCTGGGTTAAACCCTTGTGCTGGCTGAACTGCTGACCTGAAGGTTGGCAGTTCAAATCTGCACCACAGGGTGAGCTCCTGCCTGTCAATTCCAGCTTCCCACTGCGAGGACATCAGAGAAGCCTCCCATAGGATGGTAAAACATCAGGGCGTCCCCTGGGCAACATCTCTGCAGATGGCTAATTCTGTCACACCAGAAGCGACTTGCAGTTTCTCAAGCTGCTTCTGACACGATTAAAAAAATCCCACCATAAAGCCTGCCACCAATGAAAGGTCTGCATTACAAATTGCCTATTCTTTATGGTCTCAAATTGGGCTCAAAACATAAAGCACAGCTATGAGCAGCTGGAGACTTGTACACAAACGCACAATGTAAATCTACTAACAAGTGGCAGAGTATGGAGTATTATATCTTACTGCCTAGGTAGAAGCTGTAAATTATAGTCTGGCAACTTAACATGGACAGAGATGGTCACTATCTGAAGTGGCAGATCTGTCCACCTTCACCAATTACCTTGCCTTTTAAAAATATTTTAAACTTAAACATATTCAAGTTATGCTTTAATAGTATTTTCTGTCAATGGGACAAAATGATAACTACCTGAGACGAACGCAGATATGTTGCCCACAGGCTAATAATACAAAAAAAGAAAAGGAAAAAAATCTTGAAGACAGATGACGTAAGAAGCTACGTGCCACTTGTCACTTCTTACACGGAAGTAAATAAGAACATATACACCTTCTAATTATATTAGCAGAACTAAAAGGAAAATGTTGCCTCAGATACAAATGCACTTCACTGGCTGTCGATCAGCTTCCGAGCACAATTCAAAGTGCTGGTTTTAACTTTTAAAGCCCTGAATGGTTCTGGCCCAGATTAACTGTCTGAACGTATCTCCTGCTACGAACCATCATGAAGCTTAAGATGGTCAGGAGAAGTCCTGCTCTCGATCTCACCACCTTTGCAAACGCCATTGGTGGGGACGAGAGTCAGGGCCTTCTCGGCAGTGGCCCCCAGTCTGTGGAACTCCCTCCCTAAGGACATCAGGTTGGCCACCTCCCTCCTGTCCTTTAGAAGACAACTGAAGACCTGGCTCTGGAACCAGGCCTTCGACTAGAGAGGAGTGGCAATATGAAAGAAAATTTTGGACATTGCGACACTGGATTCTCCCGGCTTGGCTTTGGTGTATTGGCATGTTAACTTATTGTTAATGAATTTATTTGCTGAATCTGTATAATGTTTTAAATGGATTTTATTGTTTTAATTATAATTTTATTGGTGTTTTTGTTGATAGCATCATCTGATGCTTATGTAAGGCCGCATTGAGTGCCCTTGTGGGGAGAAGGGCGGGATAGAAATGTATGTAATAAATAAATAAATTGTGTTTGGTTTGTTAATTACTGTTAAGAGACCTGAGTTAGTTAGGCCCTGTTTGTTGTGGCTCACTTTGAGCCTGAGCTTTCTGAGCCTGAGTTTCCTCAGGACAAGATTTCTGAACATGTCCCTGTTATTGATGCAGACAGTGTTGATTCTAAAGAAGAGGTGGCATTTCTGTTTCCCAGAGAAAGGAATGTTGTTTTAGATTAAGATAGTAGAACTTCACAGCTGCAGGTGGAGGAGTCAGCTGATCCATCTGGAAGTTCAGTGCCTCTTGGTTCCCAGGGTGACCAGTCCCAGGATAATGAGTTACCCAGCCTTGAAGGTGATGGAGATTTGATTAGGGAGGACCGTTTGCAATTAAGGGTACGCCGAAGTGCTCGGCTTGCCAAAAAACGGGAAGTTCGAGGTCAACATAATGCTTTCATGCTGGGAAAACATATTTAACGATCTGAATGAAGTCAATCCTTTGTCAGTGCAATGTCGCTTACAGCCTGTTAACTTCTCTGAAATTACCTTGGCTTTTGGGGAAAGCTTCTATCCCTTTGGGACTTTGGTTTTGATCTTGATTTTTGGGGACCTTCTCATGCTGCCATGGATTCTTGTTTACCCAATGCTAAAGGATTATACTTCATGTTATTTTCCTTTGGATCTTGGAAACATTACCTTTGCATTTAAGACTCTGTTTTGGCTATTGAACTTTGTTTTTGATTTTGCTTTTTCTTCAATAAACTACAAAACCTACAGTCTTGGTGTGTGGTGGTGTCTTGAGCAAGGTGAATCTATCCTGAGTTGCAACACTGTTATACTATCGGGAGAAACAAAGCTACCCAAAATATTGCAGGGCTCAGTTTGAGACTCCCTGGACCTGAAGGTTTTTTTGTTCAATAAGTCAGTTGTCTGAATCAATACTGTGGTGACACAAAAATCAGAGGTCAAACAAGCCATTTTTTTAACAGTAAAAATCTTGCAGTCCCCCCAACCAGAACGTTCAGTGGTCATATTGACAAGAGTCTCTGGGAGTTATTGTTAAACAAATTTTCTAGTATCTCACCAAAATAATAACTTGCTTCACGTACAGAGATAGCACAGGTTCCATGTTGAGTTTTTACTGCTGTTTATTCCATCAATTAATTATCTACTGGAAAGCTTATTTTAAGCTGAATGTAATAATACCAGCTTTAAAAGATAGACTATGAAACAACAGCAGACAGACAGAGAGAACAATCTGAGCTTAGAAAGTGATGGCTGGACACAACCATTGCCAGGAATGAAAGGGGAATGAATTATTCAGCAAGTTGCTCGAAGTGACACAGGTATTTATGGGAAAAGAAAACATTGAGACAGCTCTGTAATTGTGTTGTTGAAGGCTTTCATGGCCGGAATCACTGGGCTGCTGTGAGTTTTCCGGGCTGTATGGTCAAGTTCCAGACATTTCGCCCATGGCAGGCATCCTCAGAGACCTCTGTAATTGCTCTGTAATTGTATTGTTGAACTAAAAGTCACCATAAGACCATTTCTACCCTGCTCCCATTTTTTAGTTTTCATTCTTTTTTTTATAAATTACTCATTTTCATGTAGATATACATAGAGTAATTTGAATATCTTATGGTTTTTTTAAAGAATGAAAAAATTAATAATTACACAAGTTCATGTAGATAACATATAGTAACTCATATCTGTGGTTTTACTTGTTGGCATTCAGGGGGGAAATGGTCACTCTAAAAATTTGCTGGGTCCTCCAAACAATTCAATGTTATATTTTCCCAGTTACTATAGAGCTGCTTCAGAGAACCTACCCAATTCCTAGAAAGGATACCTCTCTACAACGCAAGTTTATGATGTGCTGGGTGAAAAAGTGAGCTAATTTAATGGTATTTGGTTGTATCTGCACTTAAAGGTAATCACAATCCAGCAGGGAACATCTCCACTATGGTTATAGGCATCTTCCTGTATATCAGTGGTTCTCAACTTGTAGATCCCCAGATGTTTTGGCCTTCAACATCCAGAAATCCTAACACCTGGTAAACTGGCTGGGATTTCTGGGAGTTGTAGGACAAAACACCTGAGGACCCACAGGTTGAGAACACTGCTTCATATCATACTCTTGGCTGACACATTTTGTTTGAGGTTCCAGTCACACATACTCCATTTCCCCTGCATGGCTTGCCCAAAAAAGAAAAACAACAATAGAAACAAAAGTAAAATTGTGGCTGTTACGTTACCGGTGTCAATTGATGTGGATGTCGATGAAACAAATTCCCCTACATTGCTGAGAATCTCGTCCTTCCTTCCTGGGCTAGAGATCAATGCAAAGTCTTCTGCAGTTACAACACACGGGATGTCCAGCGAACTGCTTTCTTCAGACTGGCAGCTTGAGAGTGCTCTACTTTCTTCCATAACGCCCCTGAAGCAAAGGATAAAAATATTTTACTTGTGACTTGCATTGCACTTCAACACCAACCTATTTTAAGGAAACAAATGTCCTACGAGAAACAAAATCAGATGAAAAGTTTTGCCACTTTTTCTAAAAAGGGAAATCAATCCAGTTTCACTGGATTTTAAAGTTTTTCATACAATGGCAGGAGCAACCCATGAAACACAGATTGCATTGAAAACTCGTGCGAAATTTTGCATTTGCTTCCCCGCTCCACCTCATCGACAGAGTGGGTTACCATATACAACACTTTCCCTTTTTTGTAAGAGAAATCATGCAAGAAAAGGGGTGAACTCAATCAGAATATGAAGTTGGGAAGGTCTGATGGGTACAGACATGCCTTCCTGGCAGACTGGCTTTAAAATATGGGAACCTGAATGTCCAAAAGAGACTTGGTAACCTGAATATTGTTTCCCAGAGTTTATACACATATGCATGAGCCTCCTCATGCTGCTCAATATACAGGTATAGATTGAGTGCCCAACAAAATATAACAGTGAGGAGTGGTTCCTATTCTGAATTCTACCCGCACCCCTCTCCCCCCCCCCATTTACCTCAGTTTCCCACCTGTCCTCACACCACTTATGTCACTCATCATTTATGGTCACTGGGCATGCTCAAACACTGGACTATTTGGGGGCCTCCTCTGCCCTTTATGTTGTACTTATGGGGTTCTCATAGTTCCCACAAATCTGCTGAGTTCTCCCCTTCTTGCGTATGGATCTTGTATATTTCCAGTTTTTAGGAAAGAGTGCAATGGCAATCAAAGAAACGGGATTCTCCCTTAAAGATTGGAAAAATAAGGAATCATATGGATAGGCAATGACAATGTCATATTCATTTTGAGTCACACAGTCATGAAAACCCACTGGGCGAATTTGGGCAGGCCATACTTTCTCTGCTTGAGGAGACCATTGAAAAGCTCCTCTGAATAAATCTTGCCAAGAAAATCCTATAAGAAGGTTGACACAGGTTGGCATTGACTTGAAGATACACAAGAACAACAAGACAAGCAATGCCAACAATACACCATCAGGCCAGAAAGAAGAGTGCATTGGAAAACCTCTTTTTAGTAGACAGCTGTCCACATCTGAGAATAACATACAGTAAGACACACACATGCACACTCATAACCATAGAGCCTATATCTGTAGTTTCATGTGAACACACTGAGGGAGAAATGGCCTCTATGGGAATCTATAGGATCTTCCAGGTGAATCTATGGTATGCTTCCTGCAAAAGTAATTACAGACTTGTGTTGGAGGATCTAGCAAATTCCTTCCTTGGAATCTCTAGGTTCTCCAATGCAACTCTATGGCATACTGGGACCAGACAGCAGATTACTGAATGTTGTGTTTACGGTTTATTATTTATTTATTTGCTATATTTGTATACCGCTCCTCTAAGCCCGCAGGCAATTCGAGGCGGTTCACAAGGCAACAATTCAATACCAACAACATCATAAAAACATTAAAACATTTTAAAGCATTAACATATCAAGTAAGACCATAATAATAATAAAAACAAAACAATTTGTCCTAGATAAAACATAATATGATCTCATAATCCAATTGTTCCATAACCATGTCTGTTACACTGCCTTTTCAAACGCCTGCTCGAACAGCCAGGTTTTGATTTTTTTTCAAAAGGTCAAAAGAGAGTGAGCCGATCTAATGTCTCTAGGAAGGGTATTCCATAGCCTAGGGGCCACCACTGAGAAGGCCCTGTCTCTCATTCACGCCAGTCGAGAGCAGGGCCTCTGCAGATGGTCTTAACGTCCTAGATGGTTCATAAGGGGAGTTTCAGGTAATCACATGCCAGCCAAATACGGACAGAGAGGTCTTACTGTACTTGCCACTAGATTAGATGAACACATTGCACCCACACATATGTTACGGCTTGCTACTGTGTGTTGCTAGAGGAAGTAGTCCCAAGCTTGTTCACAAGAACCATTCCATATTTACAAACTGCATGTACAGTACCTATTCTATTAGAAGTTTTTCTCTGCTTGCATCTGTTTTATGACCTTGGTGCCTTTTCTGAAAAACCTTCTTACAGAATGCTGTTGGACTTGCCCTTTGCATTGGATTTGCTAGTTAATGCCTCACTATCAGTTTTCCGATCAGAGCGAGATCGGTTTTCGTGACCTAGAGAACAGAGGCAAGGTTAAAATGTTCATAAGAACAGTTGCTAAGTGAGACAGTGTCAGCTGGAAGTGGGGGAGCATGGTGTTTTCAGGCAGGAAACTTCTGGTGCCTGGGAAGATGTGATTTCTCTGAAGTTGAGAATATCCGGAGCCCCCGGGGGCGCAGTGGGTTAAATCCCTGTGCCGGCAGGACTGAAGACCAACAGGTCATAGGTTCGAATTTGGGGAGAGCGTGGATGAGCTCCCTCTGTCAGCTCCAGCTCCTCATGTGGGGACATGAGAGAAGCCTCCTACAAGGATGATAAAACATAAAAACATCTGGGCGTCCCCTGGGCAACATCCTTGCAGACTGCCAATTCTGTTTACGCCTCATCAACTATTTTCAACCTCCAGCCGGTCAAGCAAATAAAACAGTGTTTCTCAACCTGGGGGTTGAGACCCCTGTGGGGGTCGTGAGGAGGTGTCAGAGGGGTCGCCAAAGACCATCAGAAAACATAGTATTTTCTGTTGGTCATGGGGGTTCTGTGTGGAAAGTTTGGTCCAATTCTATCATCGGTGGGGTTGAGAATACTATTTCATTGTGGGTGAACTATAAATCCCAACAACTGCAACTCCCAAATGGCAAGGTCTATTTTCTCCAAACTCTACCAGTGTTCACATTTGGGCATATTGAGTATTTGTGCCAAGTTTGATCCAGATCCATCATTGTTTGAGTCCACAGTGTTCTCTGGATGTAGCTGAACTACAACTCCAAAAACTCAAGGTCAATGTCCCAGACCTTCCCAGTATTTTCTCTTGATCATGGGAATTCTGTGTGCCATGTTTGATTCAATTCCGTCATTGATGGAGTTCAGAAGGCTCTTTGATTTAAGGTGAACTATAAATCCCAGCAACTCCAGCATTACCAAATGACAAAATCAATCATCCCCAACCCCACCAGTATTCAAATTTTGGGCGTATCGGGTATTTGTGCCAAATTTGGTCCAGGGACTGAAAATACATCCTGCATATCAGATATTTACATTACGATTCATAACAGTAGCAAAATTACAGTTATGAAGTAGCAACGAAAATAACGTTATGGTTGGGGGTCGCCACAACATGAGGAACTGTATTAAGGGGTCGCGGCATTAGGAAAGTTGAGAACCACTGAAATAAAAGATGAACTCAATTGTCATAAGTATGTTTTGGTGATGTTACTTGGAAACTGCCCTGAATCCCCCTTCGGGGAGATAGAGCGGTACATAAATAAATTATTATTATTATTATTATTATTACTACTACTACTACTACTACTATTATTATTATTATTATTATTATTATTCTGAGCTGGGATTATGCAGGGCCCTTCCACACAGCCATATAACCCAGAATATCATGGCAGAAAATCTACATCTGCTTTTGAACTGGATTATTTGAGTCCACGCTGCCATATAATCCAGTTCAAAGCAGATAATACAGGATTTTATTAAGCTGTGTGGAAGGGCCTTAGACAATGGATTTGGTAGAAATCTAAACAGGACTTTTAAAAAAAGAGTACATCATGTCATGCCCACCAAAGTGGCATTTCAGCGGTTCGTCTGGACCACTGTCAAGGCGACTGAGCTTGCCAAATGTTCTGGCGACACCTGTCCTGCAAATCCCCTTCTAAGAAATCTGGTCACACTCTTTGGAATGAAATAAACAGACGGAGTTAAACCCGTTCCTCAAGAGACCACGTGAAGTCTTTCCAAAGCAGCTGCATACTTCTGTTCAAATATGTACCCTACTCCTCTAGAAAAAAAAAACTTTACAATTTCCCAAAAGAAATCAGAAAATAACAAATACCTGGATTTTGTTTTTACTGTTCCAAACTGCAGCCAAGCCAAAAAGACTCATGAAGGCAGCTTGTTTTTTATGTGTCAGGAGCAACTTGAGAAACTGTAAGTCGCTTCTGGTGTAAGAGAATTGGCCGTCTGCAAGGACGTTGCCCAGGGGACGCCCAGATGTTTTGATGTTTTATCATGCTTGTGGGAGGCTTCTCTCGTGTACCCGAATGAGGAGCTGTAGCTGACAGAGGGCGCTCATCCGCGCTCTCCCCAGATTCGAACCTGCGACCTGTCAGTCTTCAGTCCTGCCGGCACAGGGGTTTAACACACTGCGCCACCGGGGGCTCCCCATGAAGGCAGCTGCTTAGGTTTCATTTGTGACCCACTGACATGCTGTCCTTCATAATAAAAATAGGTGACACATCTGATTAGACTGGCCAACTTATCGCCTTATGAAAAACAGAAATGCATTTTGACTAAAAATGTATACTTTTAGACCCCCCCCCCCCCCAAAACCACAGAAGCCATATCCGTGGTTTTATGTAACCACAGTCCAGCCGGGAACATATTTCCTGCAAATTTGAGAGTCTTACTGTATATCAAGGGATGAGCCTGGTCTTCCTAGTGTCTTGTTTCCTTGCAGCTATCAAATCTTTCTTCTTTGAAACAGCAAGATAAGAAAAATATAATATAAAATAAGGATAATTCAAATGTGAAGGTTACACCGAGGTTCACCCTGACCAATTCTGCTACTGGGACACAATCAAGGGTGCCATGAGGCTTTATCACTGTTGCAGGCAGTGCTTTTCTTTTGCTTTTCTTTCTTTTCCTTATCTTTGCCCTTTGGTCCAGAAAAAAAATGAATTTTTGGAACACTGCAGACGCTACTGATCACATGCCTTAAATGCCTGGCTTCTAATTAATTCACCATTGAATTAAAGGTCTGTGATATGGGCTTCTATGGTTATATCTATGTCCTAGGTGTAGAATGCACATAAATTAAAACAGAATACAGTACATAACCCATATACGGGTGAAACCAGTGCCCACGGCTTCTCTTACCCACATTTATTTATTTACACTATTTATATTCCGCCCTTCTCACCCCTCAGGGGACTCAGGGCGGATTACAATGTACACATATATGGCAAACATTCAATGCCAAAGACACAACAGAAATAGACAGTCATAGGTTATTTAACTTTTTCTGGCCACCAGGGGAGCTGTCGCTTTCATTGTCCATCTGCGACACTGATGAAATACTTCCACATTCCCCGCATGCTTTTTGCTGGAGTGATTTGCTGGAGTCTTTTTTATGGCCTCGTAAATTAGTTAAATTAGCCTCCCCACACATAGGTGGTACCTAATTTTCCTACTTGACAGATGCAACTGTCTTTTGGGTTGCAAAGGTCGACAACAAGCTACACAATTGGTCAGAAGCTCACTCCAACCCGGCTGGCAAAATAGGCACTCACTAAGAAGTTTTTAGGCCCTCCAGATAATTCTATGATACGCTCACGTCAAATGTTGCTACAGAGCAGTGGAGTCAAACTTGTGGCCCTCCAGATGTTTGGGACTTCAACACCCAGAAGCCCTAGCCAGATTGTTCAATGGCAAGGAATTATGGGAGATGAAGTCCAAAACACCTATAGGGCTACAAGTTTGATACCACTGCAGTCATTAATTTCAATACATATAGCTATAATCCATGGCCTCCTGATATATGATCTCTATAACCTGCCCGTGGCTGCTGATGGGGATAACACGACCCCCCTCCTGAAGCAGCTTCACTGGTTGCCTATTAGTCAACCGAGTCTATGATATGGACCAGGCATTGAACAGCTAGCTGATAGCCAGATGCATAAAATCACCACTGACCAAGAGGTCATGAGTTTGAAGCCAGCCCGGGTCAGAGTGAGCTTCCAGTCATTAGTCTAGCTTGCTGTTGACCTATGCAGCCCGAAAGACAGTTGCATCTGTCAAGTAGGAAATTTAGGTACAGCAGCATGAATATACGGACTGAGTTGACATGATTTTATCTTGGTGAATGGCTGTTATGTAATTTATCCTATATGTATTGGTTAATTTTAATGTTCATGTATGATATTTTAGATTTTAGTGTTAGCATTGAATTTTTGCTGTCAGCTGGTCTGAGTCCCTCTACGGAGGCAGAAAAGATCGGGATATAAAAGTTTTAAATAAATAAATAATAAATAAATGCAGAAGAATGAGGAAGCACTCCATCAAAGGGCTCGGTGTCACAAATGGACGGTGAGGTGGCAGCCGGAATTGAGCATACCCTCATGAAGCCGGAAAAGCTGGAATGTTAAACTGCCTCTGTGTCTGTCTATATATATTGTATGTCCAATTGGCATTGAATGTTTGTCTGTTTATGTGCATTATAATCCGCCCTGAATCCCCTGCGGGGTGAGAAGGGCAGAATATAAACACTGTAAATAAATAAAAAATAAATATGGTAGCAAGCACCTTTTAGTTTATAGAAATGTCTGTTTTATCTCAATGCTCATAATTTTTATTGTTAATTTTTGTATTTGATTACGTTGTATTTTGTGTTTTATATTGATTGATGTGTTATTAATGTGGATCCCATTTTCTGTATTTTATTGTATTGTACTTATTGTATTATTTATGTTGTAAGCTGCCCCAAGTCCCCTGGGGAGACGGGATAGAATATAAATAAACTTTATTATTATTATTGACACAAAAGCACAGTATGTTACAGCAAACGAGATCTATATGCTGGATTTCATATCACAAAATCACAAGTCGAACACTTCCCAAGCGTCTAGGACTGTGTTGTTGCTGTTATTATTATTACTACTATTATCATCATTATCATTATTGGTAAATTCAGGACCGTATCCCTCACAGATACAGGGATTGTTTTGTAATTGTCACCTCATGTGTTACAATCAGCCCTAGACCACTGCTACTTAAACTGTGGGTTTCGATTCCCAAGTGAGGTCCCCTTAGCTCAATGTTGAGGTCACGAAAAATGTGGCCACAGTAAAAGGTTTCTGAACCCCCCCATTTACACAAATCAGTGAGCAACAATGTGCAGTGTTTATGGTTGACTCTGCAGAAAATGCACCAGCTGTACTTCATAAAAAGGAAAATCAGCCTGTCTAGCAAGCCTTGCAAATTCTGGTTTAATCATAAATGTTTGATTGCACTATATAACAAAATGTGAAACCTTTTCTGTTCCTGGTTTGAAAGTGTTATTTCCTGTTTAATTGTGTGGCACTTACTTTGAAAGTAGTTGTTATACTCCCGAATCTTTGTTTTTGTGGCAGCTACAAACTATGTTGAATTGGTTGCGATTGGATGAGATATTCATTGAAAAACCATAGCAAAATGTACTGCAGGATGTGCGGCAAAAAGAAAGTTTTTTGCAATTTAACAAACTTTTTCTATTTGATAGAACCAATTAGGAAATAACATTTATAACCTAGGAACAGTTTTTGTAGTTTAGAATAATAATAATAATAATACTAATAATAATACTAATAATAATACTAATAATAAACGTTGTTTGTATTCTGCTTTATCTCCCTGAGGGAGATTTAATAAATTTAATAAATAAATTTAATAATTAATACATTTAATAATTTTAATAATAAATACATTTAATAAACATTTTCCATGTTTTTATAATAGAACCAATTAGGAAATGATATTTATAACCCAGGAACAAAAATCATGTGACATATTGTTATTACAACCATTCTTATACCAAACTATCTGTGATCACGTAAACATTTTTTGAGTGGAAAGGGGTCATGAGTGGAAAAAGTTTAAGAAGCACTAGATCACAAAGAAAGACGGGGTTGCAATTTCAGCAAATAAGTGGGTCATGTGAACCCCAAAAGGACCTAATAAGGGCTATTGTCCTTTGCCATGATGATGGTGGTGGTGGTGGTGGTGGTGATGATGACGACGATGATGATATTAATAATACAACCACAGTCTTTCCAGTTTTGACCCACAATGATCTGTGATTCCATGCCTCCAGCAAACTGTTTCAGAAAAGCAATGTCTGATCTAATTTATGAATTTCTATGCTGGCACTTCCAGCATGGGCCACACACAAAGAAAGGACACAACCTTCTATGGCCGCCTCTTCCACTGCCAAAAAGCAATTACCACCATGAACTTCTTCCTAAAGCAATAAAAATCACCTTCCTTGTTCAAATTAAGAAATGGAAAACAACTCTACACAATAATCTGACAACCCTTTGTGGCACTGTAAACAATGATGGTATAACAGTGTGATGCCCTGCGGTGAACCTATCATGGGGTTTCCTTGGCAAGATTCACTCAGGCCGCATCTACACTGCCATATAATCCAGTTTCAGAATCCAGATTAACAGCATCAACCTGGGATATATGTCAGTGTTGACTCAAATAACCCAGTTCAATGCAGTTCAATTTGCATCATAGGAGTCTAGACCAGGGGTCCTCAAACTTTTTAAACAGAAGGCAGGTCCAAGTCCCTCAAACTGTTGGAGGGCCAGACTATAATTTGAAAAAAAAAATGAATTCCTATGCACACTGCACATATCTTATTTTCAGTGCAAAAAACCACTTTAAAAAATTCTATAATTAAAATGAAGTCCCAAACCATGAATGAATATCTGTGCACACTGCACATATCGTATCTTGTAGTGCAAAAAACACTTAAATGCAATACAATAATTAAAATGAAGAATAATTTTAACAAATATAAACTTATTAGTATTTCAATGGGTAGTGTGGGCCTGCTTTTGGCTGATGAGATAGGATTGTTGTTGTTGTGTGCTTTCAAGTCATTTCAGACTTAGGTTGACCCTGAGCGAGGGCCGGGTAAATGACCTTGGAGGGCCTTAGTTTGAGGACCCCTGATCTAGAGTATGGGGGGACCATTATAATGTGGATTATATGACAGTGTAGACTCATGTAACACGATTTTTGTTCCTGGGTTGTAAATGTCATGGCAAAAGTTTATCAAACTGCAAAAGCTTAATCCTGCAGCACATTTTGCTATACGAGAGTTGAATGAAAAGTAATGTCTCCACCTACATAACTCATCAGATGGCAGTACTGGTATGCGGCAGGTACTGGCTTGTCCGGTAGACTCTCCTCTACAGTTCCATTTTGGTGGTAAGCCTTAGCATTGAACGGTTGTGTTGTTAAAGTTCTTGGTTTTTTTTGTCGTTATCAGGGCGACTTGAGAAAATGCAAGTCGCTTCTGGTGTAAGAGAATTGGCCGTCTGCAAGGACATTGCCCAGGGGACACCCAGATGATTTGATGTTTTTATCATCCTTGTGGAAGGCTTCTCTCATGTCCCCGCATGAGTAGCTGGAGTTAATAGAGGGAACTCATCCACCTCTCCCTGGATTCGAACCTGCGACCTGTTGGTCTTCAGTCCTGCCGGCACAGGGGTTTAACCCACTGCGCTACCGGGGGCTCCTGTTGTAAAAGTGCGAAGTATGGAACCCTGTGCAGACGGTCGGTCAATGCAACTTAAGCAACGTGCAGTCATTGAATTATTGACAGCAGAAGGTGTCACCCAAAGGAGATTCATCAGAGAATGCAAGCTGTTTATGGTGATAGTGTTGATGCGAGTACTGTGCATCATTGGGCGAGTAAGCTTAATGATGTTGAGGTGGGAACATTTGACTTGCGTGACAAACAGAGTTGGATGTCCTGTGACAGCAACCACAGAGTTTCACAAGCAAAAGGTTGACAGATTGATTTAGGACAATGGTCATATCACTCAGAGAGAAATTTCAAGCATAATCAGCATTTCACAAGAACGTGTGGGTCACATTATTGCTTTGCTTGGCTATTGGAAGATCTGTGCACAATGGGTGCCCAGGATGCTGAAGCCTGAAATGAAAACGCACAGACTTGAAACTTCAGAGACTGGATCTCACCACTGTACAACATCCTCAATACAGTCCAGATTTAGCACTGTCTGACTTCCATCTGTTCCCGACAATGAAAGAAGATATGCAGGAACATCATTATGCTTCTGATGAAGATATTGAGATAACTGTGAGACGCTGGTTGCGGAAACAGTGTCAACTTCTTCCATGACGGCTTCAGAAAACTTATTCATCGTTGGCAGAAATGTATCCAATTGTCTGGTGATTTTGTGGGGAAGTGAATATTGGTAGTTAAAGAGCACATTCTAAGGATTATTTCTGTGTTTGATTTATTAAAATATTCCCATCCAAATCCAAGTAACGAAGGTGGAGGCATTACTTTTCATTCAACCCTCGTAGTTTTCCATCGTGTCAAGCAATTCAGCCTAGTTTCTGGGGTAGAACAACTACTTCCAAAGTGGGTGCTGCACAATTAAACAGGAAACAACACTTTCAAACCAGGAACAGAATATTTTTTCACATTTTGTTACAGAGTGTAATCTAGTTCAGTCTGCATAATGAGTCTCCTACACTGACCATTATAATGCAATTCAAACTGGAGCTGAGAGAGTGTGACTCGCCCAAAGAGGCCTCCAGGGCCATAGTTTAGGACTCAAACTATGGCACCATGGGAGCTAGAGAAGTATATGTTTCTGATTTAGTTGAAACATACGAGACAAAGCCGCACTGGTGTCATCTTGAGGAGTAGCCTGGGATTTCCCCCGTTATGCAGCATTGCAAAGGAAGACCCGGCGTTCCCTCCCTGGCACATTCCACCTCCCTTCCCCCCACCCCAAACGGAAGTTGGTCTCTTCCTCCTTCTGGCGTGGCGCATGACTCACTCGGAGCGAACCAAAGCAAACGGGGGGGAAGGGGAGTCCTCCACGGGATCCCAGGCAGCCTCTGAACGCAGCTGCTGAAGATGCCTCCTTCCTCCGGAAGTTGAACTCAATAGCAAAACCCGCGCTTGACTTCATTTGCCCCTGCAGACCGGACTTCCTGTGTGCTTCTTTTGCAAAAGGCATCTTGTTTATAGGAAATCGGGGGTGCGTCTATCCCGGGGAATGAATGCAGTGTGACACCACTTGCTCTGCCATGGAATCCTGTGATTCGTCATTTGCAAAACCTTGATAGGCTTCTGGAGAACAAGCCCTATGAGGAGCGGCTTAAAGAGCTGGGCATGTTTAGCCTGCAGAAGAAAAGGCTGAGAGGAGACATGTATAAATATGTGAGAGGAAGCCATAAGGAGGAGGGAGCAAGCTTGCTTTCTGCTGCCCTGGAAACTCGGGTGCAGTGGAACAATTGCTTCAAACTACAAGAAAGGTGATTCCATCTGAACATTAGGAAGAATTTCCTGACTCTGAGAACTGTTCAACAGTGGAACTCTCTTCCCCGGAGTGTGGTGGAGACTCCTTCTTTGAAGGCTTTTAAGCAGAGGCTGGATGGCCATCTGTCAGGGGTGCTTTGAATGCAATTTTCCTGCTTCTTGGCAGGGGGTTGAATGGCCCATGAGATCTCTTCCAACTCTATGATCTATCCTATATAATTTGCTAAATCAGTGCCCCAAGGAACCCCAGAAACAGGCCTAAAAACTCAGACTGGATGGCCCATGAGGTCTCTTCCAACTCTAGGATTCTACGCACAATGCCGACTCTTCGGCTTAGCAATGGAGATGAGCACCAACCCCCAGAGTCAGACACAACTAGACTTAATGCCAGGGGAAAACCTTTACCTTTATATGGCAATTAAAATGGTTTCAAACTTCAAACGCACACACACTTATTTGGATTTGTTGTGTCAGGAGCGACTTGAGAAACTGCAAGTCACTTCTGGTGTGAGAGAATTGGCCATCTGCAAGGACGTTGCCCAGGGGACCCCCGGATGTTTTGATGTTTTTATCATCCTTGTGGGAGGCTTCTCTCATGTCCCTTTATGTGGAGCTGGAGCCGATAGAGGGAGCTCATCTGCCTCTCCCCAGATTCGAATCTGCGACCTGTCGGTCCTCAGTCCTGCCAGCACAGGGGTTTAACCCACTGCGCCACTTATTTGGATGGAGTTACTCTTAAAAAATGAACTTGCTCTATCTTACATACAAACAGACCTACAGAACCTAACTTCCTCGTAACTGCCTTATTGTATGTATGGTCATAATAAGATATTTTGGAGATGGGACCCAAGTCTGAACATGGAATTCCATGTATGTGGCATGCACATCTTATATACAGAGCCTGAAGGGATAAAATATTTTAATCCTTGTGTGCCTGAAACAAAGACACTGAGAACTGGGAAGCCCTGGCCCTTGAGTGCTTCAGCTGGAGGTCAGCTGTGACCAGCAGTGCTGTAGAATTTGAAGCGGCACAAATGGAGGGCGAAAGAGAGAACGTGCCAAGAGAAAGGCGCGTCAAGCCACCCCGACCAGGACTGCCTTCCACCTGGAAACCAATGCCCTCACTGCAGGAGAAGATGCAGATCAAGAATAGGGCTCCACAGTCACCTACGGACCCACCAGCAGGACACTACACTTGGAGGACCATAATCCTCGGACTATGAGGGATCGCCTAAGTAAGTAAGTAAGTAAGTAAGCCTGAAACAAAGTATATGTCCACTGAACCATGAGAAAGCAAAAGCATCATTATCTTAAGACACTTTTATAGAGAATTTCTGATTCTGGAATATTTTCAATCTCTGGATAAAGGATGCTAAACTTGTACTATAACTGTGTTGTGTCACAAGCACAAACAGGCAGGATTATTTTTAATATATATATGTTGTTTTGATAATATGTTTATGTTGTTTACTCTCTATGTTTTGGTGTTTGTTACTTGGAAATACCCCTGAGTCCCCTCAGGGAGATAGACGGGCATATAAATAAAGTTTTATTATAAACTAGCCGTCCCCTGCCACGCGTTGCTGTGGCCCACATGGGGGTTCTGTGTGGGAGGTTTGGCCCAATTCTATCATTGGTGGAGTTCAGAATGTTCTGTGGTGGTAAGTGAACTATAAATCCCAGCAACTACAACTCCGAAATGTCAAGATTCTATTTTCCCCAAACTCCACCAGTGTTCACATTTGAGCATATTAAGTATTCGTGTAGAGTTTGGTCCAGATCCATCATTGTTTGAGTCCACAGTGATCTCTGGGTGTAGGTGAACTACAACTCCAAAACCAAAGGACACTGCCCACCAAACCCTTCCAGTATTTTTTGTTGGTCTTGGGAGAACTGTGTGCCAAGTTTGGTTCAATTCCATCGTTGGTGGGGTTCAGAATGCTCTTTGATTGTAGGTGAACTATAAATCCCAGCAACTACAACTCCCAAATGTCAAAATCATTTTTTTTTTGAGTGAAGGACATACATTGGGTTGTTAGGTGTCTTGTGTCCAAATGTGGTGTCAATTCGTCCAGTAGTTTTTGAGTTCTGTTAATCCCACAAACGAACATTACATTTTTATTTATATAGACTAGAAGCAGATGCCAAAGAGTATCCTTTTCACACCATATTATGTGGGGACTTATTTTTCTATAGTTGAGCTGTTTCTAAAAATGAAATAGGAAATGTGTTCTTAACTAGGAAGCTAGGACAGGAAAGCACGAGCATTCCTGTCTCCATTTTTATTATTGCGGCACATGGGAATAAAGAAAGAGATGTTTTCCCCAGCTATTTTTGTTGCAGACTGGAAAAAAGGGGAAGGAAGCGGAGAAGAAAATGACGTTTGTGGTGTCAACTTACAGGAAGAACTCAAAGTTTAACCTTTTCTGGGGTAAATTTGGATGAGGAAATGCCTCTAGAGCTCATGTTATTATGAAGGTGAGGACTTATTATTATTACAGTAGAGTCTTCCTTATCCAACATAAACAGGCCGGGAAAATGTTGGAAAATAAGGAGGTATTAAGGAAAACCCTATTAATCATCAAATTACGTTATGATTTCACAAATTAAGCACTAAAACATGTTTTACAACAAATCGACAAAAAAAGCAGTTCAGTACATGGTAACGTTATGTAGTAATTACTGTTATTTACTAATTTAGCACCAAAACGTTGCAATGTATTGAAACAGCTCTGGATCTGAGTGGGAGGCAGACTGCGTTGGATAATACAGAACGTTGGATGAGCGCGGGTTGGATAAGCGAGACTCCACTGTATTATTATTACTATTGTGTTATTTGGAAGGGCTGCAAAAGTCATAAGATCAGAAATTACCCTAGAAGCTGTCCTAGATGCCTCAAAGCAAATGTGTTCTGGATGTTGTATTTTATCAGATTTTGGAATGTCTGTATTTGCAAATACAGACATAATGAGATATCTTGGAGATGGGACTCAGGTCTAAAATCATAATTCATTTGTGTTTCTTATAAACCTTATACACACAGGCTGAAGTTAATGTTATACATAATGTTTTTGATAATTTTGTGTATGAAACAAAATTTGTGTGCATTGAACTGTCAGAAAGCAAAAGTGTCACTATCTCTGGGGGAGGATTTCGGATTTTGGGATAAGGCAGTGGTTCTCAACCTACCTAATGTCACGACCCCTTAATACAGTTCCTTATGTTGTGATGACCCCCAACCATAACATTATTTTTGTTGCTTCTTCTTAACTGTAATTTTGCTATGGTTCTGAATCGTAATGTAAATATCTGATATGCAGGATGGATTTTCATTCACTGGACCAAATTTGGCCCAAATACCCGATATGCCCAAATTTGAATACTGGTGGGGTTGGAGGAGATTGATGTTGTCATTTGGGAATTGTAGTTGCTGGGATTTATAGTTCGCCTACAATCAGAGGGCTTTCTGAACTCCACCAATGATTGAATTGAATCAGACCTGGCCACACAGAAATCCCATGACCAACAGAAAATGCTAGAACAGCTTGGTGGGCATTGACCTTGAGTTTGGGAATTGTAGTTCACCTAAATTCAGAGAGCACTGTGAACTGTGAACTCAAAAAATGATCAATCTGGGCCAACCTTGGCACAAACACTCAATATGTCCAAATGTGGACTCTGGTGGAGTTTGGGGAAAATAGACCTTGACATTTGGGAGTTGTAGTTGCTGGGATTTATAGTTCGCCTACAATCAAAGAGCATTCTGAACCCCACCAATGATAGAATTTGGCCAAACTTCACACACAGAACCCCCATGATCAACAGAAAATATTGTATATTCTGATGGTCTTTGGGGACCCCTCTGACACCCCCTCGCAACCCCCCCCCCACAGGGGTCTCGACCCCCAGGTTGAGAAACACTGGGATAAGGGATGTTAAACCTGAAACAATGCTTTGTTGAATATTAAATAAACATATCATGGATTATATATTTAATCCACATAAATCCCATGTATGATAAACACACATCTCTCACTCATACCCTTCCTACCTCTAACCTTGTAATAAGAAATTCAGTGTTCAGATTTGATAAATGTGAATTTAATATGATGTGTGGGAATGAATGGAAGGATGTATGGAGCTAATAGTTTTGGAGAAACCAGTAAAATATTAAGGCCTGCAATGACTAAACCTACTTGCTGGACTGTAATTAAAACCTGCTAATAAGAAGTGAAAAGTAAACTTTGATAAGAATTGGGACAGTGATAACAGAAATGTTTACAATGTTAAGAAGGAAGTCAACATAAGATCAACACCAATCAAGAAGATCAACATCTGACCAGGAAACTGTGATGGATCCAGGATGGAAGACGTCTATCATTAATTTACAACCTTGGGACTACATCAGCAGAATATTCCTATAAACGTCTTATAATGCTCAAAGTGTGGCAGACCTGAGGAGTCTATTCCACCCACTATGCACCGCTCCATGGGAAGGAGAGAGATAGTATACCTATAGAGAGTGGCAGATTTGCATGGGAGCAGTCTGGTCACTTTGGGGCTTCTTTCTCAAGGGAAGAGGAAGAAATGCGCTTTTGGAGTCTTGGATTATGTGCAGGGAGTCAGG